TAATTATTAATTATTAATTTTAATATTTGGATTTTTTGTGTAATTGATGGATTTTAAGGTTTTCACAAAAAAAAAAATAAAGGCGTTGTAAAAAAGTATGAAAATACTCAAAACTTAAAACTTAAATTACATAATAATAACAATTAACATTTGAAATATCGAGTGACATTTTGGGAAACGTCTCTGCTCCTGCTTTAACACTTTTAATTCTAATTGACAAATTTTATGTTTTTTATGTTTATTTTTATTTTTTTTTTTAGTATATATTATATATAATAATATAATAAAAAGTTCATATATAAAGAAAAAGGAAAAAATTTATTATTTTAATCCTCTTATGTTTATGCTTTTTAATTTATTTGTTTGTTTGTTGAAAAAATAAAAAAAATTAAAATTTTAACCCAAACAACAAAAACGAAAAAACGTTTCGTTAGATAGATAGATGCATGTAATTGATGAATAATGAATTGATATGACAATGATTTATAATGATCCATTGGTGGATTCTTCTTCGTGTGAGGGGATGAGTTTGACTTGTTTTTCATCAGCAATTCTTCTTGCTTCAGCATGAACATCGGCAACTTGTTTTGTGGTTGAAAGATAATATTCAAGCATGATTTTACCGGCAGGTGTTTCGATCGCTTGATTTACTTTGTCTTGTGCTTGAGTAGTGACATATTTGATTTTATCTTGAACGGCAAATTTAGTGTCGAGCTGGACGGCTGTCGCACTCACTTTATCATATACTTTGTATTGGTCGTCTAATGCTTTGACTAAAAGAAGACAAAAAAGAATATTTTTTTAAAAAAATTTTTTTTTTTGAAGGAGGAAGTGAAAAAAACAAAAAAAAAACTCACGATTGTCTTGGAGTTGATGCAAATAATACATGAGACGTCCACTTATACCGCATCTTGCTAAAATAATAATAATATTAATGAATTAAATAATTCGAAATCAAATAATTATAAATTCTTTTAAAAAATGTATTCGTTTAAACTTACAATCAAATTCGAGGCCTTTTTGAATGATAGAATCTTGTAACTGAAATCCTGCAGCTAAAATTTCTGCAAAAATTACTTTTTTTGGCTATAATAAAAAGATATATAAATTAACTTACGAATTTGCAATAAACCTTCACCAAAATATCTTAAATTTATGATTGCCCAAATCAACGTCATCTAAATAGTAAACAGTAGAATTATTATTATAATTATAAGAGAAAAATCGTATTTGTAAAATCATTATAATTATTCAAAAACTTACAATTGACATAAATACTGATATACAATCTGGAAGATATTCAAAAATAAAAAAAAAAAATTAGAAACTAATCAAATAACAAACCAATAACCAACCAACCAACCAATTGAACAATATGCT